ATATTTGTCTCTATTTCCATTGTTTCTTCCTTGTAATTGAGGAATTTAAGACTGAAAAGCCTTGATGCATACCCTAACACTGCAGATCTTTTACTTAATTCAAGATTATCACAGCAAGGGCGAAGGTTCTTTCAAAGTCTATAAAATTCAATAACCAGTGTCACATATGCTAAAAGTGGCATGCCAGAACAAGTCCTTGATAATAGAGCCATATTTTATTTGCAGGAGGGGTAGACCAAAAGAATGTCAAATCTATGTTCTTTAAACTTCACTGTTTTTATAATTTGGTATTTATTTTATTATTTTTCTATTAAAGGTTCTTTGTAATCTCTAATATTTTTAGAACACAAAGGCAAAAAGATTTTATACAGTTTAATCAAGGTGGTTAAGAGAATGAGTAGTAATGGTGCCACCCCAATTTGGATCTCTGTGGTAAGTCAGTGAAGTAGACCAGATGGAGAATGGTGGATTGAAGAACATTATAAATGCTGATCCCTTCTTTCATGGTTCATTCTTCTTATCCCTAAACGGCAAAATGAGTGTCAACCTAAATAACAGCTAGAGAGAAGCTCTCTAAGAGAAAATCATGTTCGTTTGGGAATAGGCATTGCAACATAAATACACATACCCAGATCCCTGGACCAGCCAGCCACCAAAACAAAAAGAAAGAGAAAAGAAATACACATGCCATAGTAAATTATCTGTGTATTCAGAGAGGTAAGGAGGACAAAGGTTTTTCAAGGAATAATAGTGAAAGATTACATAATTGTTTTCAGATAATTATCCTTGGCTACCAGGATCAATAACAAGGGTGGTGCCAATCTAAGGTTAGACAGGGAGATATCCTCCCGTATGTTTGTGTGTATGTGTAAGGTTGTGATGGCCTTTTTGCAAGGTTGTGATTTTTGCAGTCTTTTGTAATCATTCTTGTTATCACGCATTTATGCATCAGAACCCTCCCTTCAAAGTCTTCCCCATCTCTATTTGTTTAAAGGTTTTAATACCTGTAACTCCACTTTGATTCTGACAACTTTCACATCAGTGAAGCCTTTAGT